AAAAAAAAAAAAAAAAAAAACTATAAAACATTAATGTAAGAAATTAAAGAGGACACACAAAAAAAGGAAAGATATTTTATGTTCCTGGATTAGAATTATAATTACTGTTATAATGTCCATTTTACCCAAAGGAATTTACAGATTATTGCAATTCCTATCAAAATACCAAAGACCGTCATCACAGAAATAGGAAAAATAATCCTAAAATTTGTATGGGACCACAAAACACCCAGAATAGCCAAAGTTATCCTGAGCAAAAAGAACAAAACTGGAGGAATCACATTACCTAAATTCAAATCATATTGCAGAGCTAAAGTCATCAAAACAGCATAGTAGTCATAAAAGCAGATACATAGACCAATGGAACAGAATAGAGAAACCAGAAATAAATCCGTACATCTACAGGGAACTCGTTTTTGACACACATTGGGGAAAAGATAGTTTCTTCAATAATGGTGCTGGGAAAATTGGATATCCATATGCAGATGAAACTAGGCCCCTGCCTCTAGGCACATATAAAAATCAAATCAAAATGGATTAAAGGGCCGAACGCGGTGCCTCAGGGCTTTAATCCCAATCCCAGCACTTTGAGAGGCTGAGGCGGGTGGATCACTTGAGGTCAGGAGTTTCAGACCAGCCTGGCCAACATGGTGAAACTTCGTCTCTACTAAAAATACAGAAATTAGCTGGGAGTGATGGCAGGCTCCTGTAATCCCAGCTACTTGGGAGGCTGAGGCTGGAGAATTGCTTGAAGCCCGGAGGCGGCGTTTGCAGTGAGCCGAGATCTGGCCACTGCACTCCAGCCTGGACGACAGAGCTAGACTCTGTCTCAAAAAACCAACCAACCAACCAACCAACCAACCAACCAACCAACCAACCAGCCAGCCAACCAAACACTCCGAGACCCTAGCAGGCACAGAAACAAGCGGCTGGACCTCGAGAGGAACACCTCGGCAGATGAGCACACAGGTGGCTGGACGTTGAGCACGCAACTAATTGAGCTGATTAACACAAGACCCCTATAGACTGCAAAATAAAAGAGCACCCTGTGACACACGTCCATTGGGGCTTCAGGAGCTGTAAGCATTCATCCCCTAGACACTGCCATGGATTCGGAGCCCAAGTGCCCCACAACCTGCCCGTCTGCATGCTGCCCCTAGAGGTTTGAGCAGAGGGGCACCGAAGAAGCCAGCCACACCCCCACTGTTAACCTGTAGAAGGTGTCCAGGTTCTTGGCGTCTTGAACAAAGAATTGGACAAAACTCACAAACAAAGCAAGGAAGGAATGAAGGGATTTAGTGAAAATGAAAGTACGCTCCACAGTGTGAGAGCAGGCCAAATTATAGGGACACAAACGCCCCGTTACAGAATTTTTGGAAGTTTAAAGACCCCCTAGAGGCTTCCATTGGTTACTTCCAGTACGCCCTATGCAAATGGGGAGGATGAAGTAAAGTTACAAAGTCATTTATGTGTGTGCCCTATGGAGAGGATATTTCCTGTTATAGCCGAATTGTAAATCGGTTTTATGTTCCCTGCTCCAGATCCTGTTTTCCTCCCTCACCATCGCACGCCCTGTAAGGGGGAGAAGGAAACTTTTCCCATTTCACTATCAAGGAAATGAAACTTACCAGATCATCACATCTGGACAGCGAGACACCAGACCCCTCACCCATCATGATCGCCTAAGCGACCACCTGATAGCTGTTGACCAACTCCTCTTCCCTACCCTTCCCTAATTCCTGATTTCCTACATTTCTTTCTTACTGTGTAAATCCCTAATTCTAGTTGGTTGGGGGGATAGGTTTCAGACTGATCTCTCATCTCCTCTGCTGCAGCATCAGATTAAAGCCTTCTTCCCTGGTAATTCTCATTGTTTCAGTGATTGGCATTCTGTGCCAGGAGCAGCAGGATCTAGATAGAACCCCTGGGCTATGGGTAACACAGGTGGATCTGGCCCTGCCCGCTTCCCCGCTCTCTTTAACTGGCTAAGTTCACGTACCTGCGCATGCCCAGAACGCACCCAATCTTTTCTGCCCTCTGGCAGCCTCACTCGGACCTTCCGGACTTCACCTCTTTCAAGAAGCCCTCCCTGGGGGCCCCGCCCTTTGGGAGCACAACACCCTTTTTGTTCCCAAAGCCCTACGTCCCTATCAGGTGCTGATGCTACCATCTGCTTCTGCGCTGGGCCCGCAGGCCGGGGCACACTTTGCAGGAGGAGGCTTTGTCATAATCTTCTTTGTCGCCCCAGTTCCTAGCTCAGCAGCGGAGCCCCTCAAACCTCGGGAACTCCTCCCTGCAGAGGAGCCTCGGGCTGCCTTTAACCGGGGCAGGGTGACGGAGGCCTCAGGGCCCGGGCAGGCACAGCTAGCGGGACTCAGCGCCGGCCTGGCGCCGGGGCTCGTATTACCGCCTCACTGCTGCAGGCGGGCTGTAAGCGCGCGCGCGGTCGCCATGGTAGCGCAGGCGCCGCGGCCTGTGGTAAAAGGAGCATGGGGAGCCCCCGGGAGACCGCCAGTGCGCCGGCCAGTCCCTCTGCTCCGGCCCCGGCTCGGGCCTCCAATCAGGCTCGTTCTCCGGGCGCGGCCCTGGCGGGTCAGCGCGGTAAGAAGTAGGGAACCCGTCTGCGCGGCTTGGCCCAGACGAAACGCGTGAGGGGCGCGGGGGTGGCACGCCAGAGTCCTCTCAGCAGGCTGCCACCCAAGGCGACTCGGCGGGAGGGTGCCTCTGGGAACCCCAGCTGTGGCCAGAGGTTTGGGGCGCCCCAAAAAGAGGGCGGTAGAGGGGTCCCCAGCCGCCGCGAGGGGCCGCACTTTGCGCGACAGGTTGTGCGGATGAAGCTGTAAGTCGCTATGCTCTCAGGTCTCCGGGAGGGTGTGTCTTGGGGGGGGGCTCTTCTCAGCCCCCTTTTTGTGAAAGGCCCACAGAGCAGGTCACAGGTGGACATGAGGGTCTTGATACCGTTCTGACTTTGCACCTCTCTACCACCTCAGTTTTAAATATTTCTGCGCCCATGAGGGATCGTTAGCAAGTTAAGCATACCCTGAAGGCCCACCCGCTACCCGCCATTTCCGTTTTGTATGGTTGTTTTAGGGTATGTTTGTGGATACGGAACTGTGTCCGGAGGCTGGCTTAATAATACGCGCTGCACCCAGGAGATGGGCAGTGTTAGGCTCTGCCTTTAGCATGAGAGGAAATTTAAGCTAGGATAAAAACTCGTTCAAATGCACATACTGCGGAATCTGGATAGGGCACCCACGTCTGACTCGTGCTCATCGCTTGGATTTCTCAGTGCTTGGCTAAGTATAGAAAAGCACGTTTTGGAGGGAACTGCCTCCCAAATAAGTCCTTTCTCTGGAAATTGCAAAACGTGCTGCCAGAGGCATGGATGAAAAAATGAAATTTGAGTTAGATTCTTGACATTTTCCTGCGTAGCTGGGTTATTTCCTAGTTTTGCTTTGCAATTTGAAAACTATTTTCCTTCTAATATGAATACAGTATAGGAAGTAAATTGGTGTCATGAAATCTTGCCATGAAAAATACATAGGTGAATTTTAAATCAAAGGAAGAGTAGCAGAAGCTTTTAAATACTGTAAATCTATGGCTAGCTAAATATTATCCCCATAACTTTGTTGAGCTGTATTTAGCTTGTGGTCGATTCCTTCATGCCTTCATGGAAATGAATTGTAGTCTGACACATTTCTGTGCCTTGGTCGTGTTTCGGGCAGCGCTGAATCTTAGAGAGTCTCAGGGCAATCTTTAATACCAAGGAAGAGGGTAGGGAAGAAGGAAGCCCAGTGGGAGCATAGCTCCAACTTCTATTTGTGATCTACTTGCTTTGTTTCCTGGGGAGGACGCTAAAGCAGCATTTTCTAAACTGCATTCCAAGTGAGACTTTTTTTTTTTCCTTTTTTTTTTTTGAGATGGCGTCTCGCTCTGTAGCCCAGGCTGGAGTGCAGTGGCACCATCTCCGTTCACTGCAACCTCCACCTCCCGCGTTCAAGCGATTCTTTCGCCTCAGCCTCCCAAGTAGCTGGGACTACAGGCACATGCCACCACACCAGCTAATTTTTGTATTTTTGGGTAGAGCTAGGGTTTCAACATGTTGGCCAGGCTGGTCTTGGACTCTTGGCCTCAAGTGATCTGCCCGCCTCGGCTTCCCAAAGAGTTGGAATTACAGGCTTGAGCCACCGCGCCCGGCTGGAAATGCAGCATTCTTATCCTCCCTATTTTCAAAGTTTAACAGTTTGAAGACAGTTAACATGTTTTAAATATCCTGAGTAGCATTGTATCTCTGTACAGTTTTATTTCAGCACCTCTCAAAATTACTTGATAATAAAAGGTGTTCCTATTCTATTTGGAACACCTTTGATCATCCTGTAGAACATGAATATTCCACAAAATACAGTTTAGGCAATATTGTGCTACAATATCATTTAAATACATGAAAACTTTCTAAAATAGGTGAAGTTTTTCATTATGTATATCTATCCACATGACAGAAATCATGCTGACATTTAAAATTTTCAGAGAACAGTGACATGGTAAAACTGTTTACAATATAATGTTAATTGAAAAAAACAGCAAATAAAATTATATCCAAAGATTTCAATTTTGTTTAAAAAATACGTAATATGCATATAAAAGAAAAACTATAGGAATTATGTATGCCTAGACCTCAATTGTGGTTGTTCTTTGGCAGTGGGATTGCAGATTAACATGTATTTTTTTTTTTTTTTAATATTAGAAATCTCTGGCCAGTCACAGTGGCTCACCTGTAACCCCAGCACTTTGGGAGGCTGAGGCAGGCTGATCACTTGAGGTCAGAAGTTCAAGACCAGCCTGGCCAACATGGTGAAACCCCATCTTTATAGCCAGGTGTGGTGGTTCGTGCTTGTAGTCCCAGCTACTCGGGAGGTTGAGGCAGGAGAATTGCTTGAACCCGAGAGACAGGTTGCAGTTAGCCAAGATTGCACCCCTGCTCTCCAGCCTGGGCAGGGTGACAGAGTGAGACTCTATTTAAAAACAAAAAAAACAAACCCAAGAATTTTCCAAATTGTTTGGAATAAGTATATTAATTTTAAAAAAGGTTATTAAAAACTATAAGAAAATTTTGTTTGCCATCTGAAATATAATGCTCCTCATGTTAAATCTTGTTCTGCAGATGTGTTTAGCAAACTATTCTTCAGAGTGCAAAGGACACTCTCAGTAAATGACATTTCTGAGATGCAGAGACTTAGAAGAAAAGGCAGCTCCTAAAAAGCTAGGCTGGTTGAGCAATGAGATCTCTGTGCACAAATTTTAAAAAGACGTCCACAAAAGGTAGAAGTACAGAAAACAAAGACAGACAGTGACCTGTGCTTCTAAGAAAAGGAACAGCATAACTTCCACCCCAGAAGATGTAGGCCTTGCAGAAGATGCTTTTAAGGTATTATTGAAAAGAGTAAGGCCATAAGGAAAGCTGCATGTACAACAGAAAGGAGATCTCAACTCTTGCTTTATTTCTATCTTCTTAAGAACTTAGGGAAAAGTCGCCTTTACAAAGAGGAAATGGAAGACTTGGTAGGAGAAGAGCTTCTGTGAGCCAGGCCTCGATTTGGTATGAATAAGAACTGAGTTATACTCAAACTTGGGATGGTGTAGAGGGTATCCAAGAAGACTGTGGGAGTCGGTGATTTTTCAGATCCCTTTTGAGTTAGGTTCTTGGATAAAATTGTTTTTATATGAAGCTACTTTAAGAAACCTTTTCCTCTGGTGGATGCTGAGATGCTGAGGTGGAAAAAATAAAAAGAAACAAAGTAACCTTGAGTCACTGCAATCCAATAGGACACAGTGGAAAGAGGTTTTGGAATCAGTTTGCTTCTGCACTCTGCCCTTACTAGCTGCATGGTTTTGGATAAAATCTACAATTTCTTTAGAGGTCATTTTACTCAGCTACCCAGCCTGGCACATAATGGAGCTTAGTTTTCCCTGTATGTCGCTTCCAAGTTAGGGTGCTCACTTGAGTCAGTGTCTGCCAAGCCTCATGGGTGTTTCCATGGCCCTAGTTCTCCAAACAGCATTTTAATTCTATCATTCATTATTTTTATTTATCTTCTCTTTTTCTATCCTTGTTTCCTTTTCTTCTCTACCCCTACTGCACACACACATACAACTCATATCTTTGAAAGAAGTATAGTTTTTATGGTTTTTTTTTTTTTAAACAAAAAGCTTCTGGAATAATGTTTATGTGATGAAGGATGCATTTATTTTTCAAAATCTCCAGAATCTGGTCTTCAGGAACAGTATTCTAATCTGTGTATGGAAAAATCCCAGAAAATTAATCCTTTTATATTGCATATACTCCAAGAACTGGATGAAGAAATTAAAAAGGGGTAAGAAAGACAAATACTTGATTACATCAATAGTGTTTGCTTATATTCATGTGTATGAAAATCTTAAAATATTGAGTGATTTTATAGCCATTTGAAAATGCTTGGTAAAATGGACATATCTTTTGATTTAGGTAACTTAAGTAGATGAGCAACACTGTTAGTATGTCTTGAGGTGGTATAGCAGTTAGAAAAGAGCACTAGAGCAGGAGTATCCAAGCTTGGGCTCCAGACTGATCTTTAACTCCTGTGAGCTGGGTGAATCTTTTTTTGTGTGTGTGTGAGATGGAGTCTCGCTCTGCCCAGGCTGGAGTACAGTGGTACGATCTTGGCTCACTGCAACCTCTGCCTCCTGGGTTCAAGCAATTATCCTGCCTCAGCCTCCAGAGTAGCTGGGATTATAGGCACCTGCCACCACACCCAGCTAATTTTTGTATTTTTATTAGACAAGGTTTCACCATGTTGGCCAGGCTGGTCTTGAACTCCTGATCTCAGGTGATTCACCCGCCCTGGCCTCCCGAAGTGCTGGGATTACAAGCATGAGCTTCTGCGCCTGGCCTGAGCTGGGTGAATCTAAGCAAATCATTGAAGTTTTCAGTGTTGTTATCTATAAAGTGGGGATACTGTGTGTGTGTGTGAGAGAGAGAGAAATTATATGGTATCTTTTAAGCACTTTGCAGTCTGCAGAATAAGAAGTTTTAAGTTACCTGGTATAAATATATACTTAGAAGTCTACTTACTATATGCTTGCTTCCAGTAAATGTTATCTGTGATATGACTATTTACACATGAAGTAAACATATTTTTACTTCTTTACTGGGTTTCTATTTCAAAATCTTTTTTTTTTTTTTTGTATTTTAACAGACTAGAAGGAGGAATTACATTAAACATTGCTGGTAACAATCGCTTAGTGTTAGTAGAAAGAGTTACAAGTGAAGATTTTTGGATTCTTTCCAGAATTTTAAAGAATTGTCTGTATATTAATGGTATGTTTCCATAAGAATCAATACCTCCTGCTTTTCATTGATCTGATTTTGAGCATTCTTTATAAGGAATATCAGCTTCTATTCATCTGTGCTTCAGGTTTAGATGTTGGATATAACCTTATAAGTGATGTTGGTGCATACTACGCTGCGAGACTGCTTCAGGTATTATTTTACTACAAAATGTCCTTAGTTCTGTTTACAGTGAAACCAGTCAGTCTGGTGACACACACACAAAATACTAGTTTTACCCAATGTGAAGGGTCCTGACTCTGTGCTGGAACACTTGAAATACACTGGAAACCCACTGTGGATTTGGTCTCAATGAAGCTGGTAGCTAGAGCTCCTGAGTTACCTTTAGCAAACTTGTACACCATGATTAAATATATAACCATATCCACCTTTCAGACTGATCAAAACTAAATATGGTTTTTCCTTTCATTTACATTGTAATTATATTTTGTTTACATGAGAATGATTTTTTTTTCCCCTTAATGGTAGTTGTTTTTGCTAGGATACAGTTTTTCTTGGTTATAAAGATTTTCTTTTGAAGTAAATACTTTATATACTGTATGTGTATATGTATATACATGTATGTAAAATTAACCAATTTCCAATAATAATGTGTAATAGCTTCTTTTCTCTTATAGAAACAACTTTATCTCACTTACTTAAACCTCATGTTTAATGATATTGGGCCTGAAGGTGGAGAACTGATTGCTAAAGCACTACATGTAAGCATTTATATACTTCAAACTAATGTTTTATTTGGAAATTTCAACTTCTGATAGCATGGAACCAAAACAGTACAATGTTGAAGTGAACTTACTTTAATATTATAGGAATATATATTTTTATTATACTTTATTAAAGTATATACATTACATGAACATTTTTGAAGTCATCGTTTTACTAAGATTTCATTCACATACGTAAAATTTACCCTTTGAAAGTCTTCAGTTCAGTGGTTTTTTTAAGTATTAATATATTCACAGAGCTGTGCAAGAATCACTACTATCTCTGTTTTTAGAACATTTTTATCACCCCAAAAAGAAAAGCCCTAAACTCATTAGCAATCCCTCTCCATCTTTTCTACCCCCTACTCACCAGCCCCTGGCAGTCATAACCTACTTCATCTGTCTATGTATTTGCCTCTTGTGAACATTTCATTTATACAGAATCATACAATATATGGCCTGTTGTGATTGGCTTAATGTTTTTAAAAGATTTGTTTTTAAAAGAGTTTTACAGTTTTCACTCTTTCATTTAATTCTTTGATCCATTTTAATTTGTGAATATGGTATGATTCCCAATTTTATTCTTTTGCATGTGTATATCCGCTTGTCCTAACACCATTTGTTAAAAGACTATCTTTCTCCCATTTAACTGTCTTGACAGCTTTGTCCAAAAATCAGTTGATCATAAATATGGGAGTTTATTTCTGTACTCTCAATTCTGTTCTTTTAATCTATATGTCTATGCTTATACCACTACCACACTATCTTGATTACTATAGCTTTGTGGTAGGTTTTGAAATCAAGAAGTCTGTCGTTGTTCTTTTTTCAGGATTGTGTTGGCTCTTCTGTGTCCCTTGCATTCCATATGAATTTTAGGTCAGTTAATCAATTTCTGCAAGAAAAGCAGCTGGGATTTATTTGATTTTGAGACAGAGTTTCATTCTTGTTCCCCAGGCTGGAGTGCAATGGTACAGTCTCTGCTCACCACAATCTCTGCTTCTTGTGTTCAAGTGATTTTCCTGCCTCAGCCTCCCCAGTAGCTGGGATTACAGGAATGTGCTACCATGCCTGGCTAATTTTGTATTTTTAGTAGAGATGGGGTTTCTTCACCTTGGTCAGGGTGGTTTTGAACTCTGAACCTCAGGTGATCCGCCCACCTTGGCCTCCCAAAGTGCTGAGGTTACAGGTGTGAGCCGCCGTGCCTGGAAAGCAGCTGGGATTTTAATAGGAATTAATAGTAAATCTGTAGATCACCTTGAGGAGTATTGCCATCTTAAGTTTTCCAAGCCTTGAACATGAGATGTTTAATTATTTAAGACCTTTCATTTCTTTCCGCAATGCTCTGTAGTTTTCAGTGTGCAAGTCTTACACTTGTTAAATTTGTTCCGTTTTATTTTTTTGATGCTATTGTAAGTGGAATTGTTGTTCTTAATTTCATTTTAAGTTGTTCATTATTAGCATATGGAAGTACAGCTGATTTTTGCATATTTATCTGTCTTGCTATGTTGCTGGACTCATGTATTACTTCTAACAGGTATTTTTGGTGGAATCCTTAGAATTTTCCCTAAGCAAGATGTGTCACCTACAGTTTTACTTCATTTCCAATTTGTATGGTTTTTCTTTTTGTTTTTCTTGGCTAATTGCCCTAGCTAGAACCTCCAGCACAATGTTAAATAGAAGTGGTGAGAGGACATCCTTTTCTCCTGATCACAGAGGGGTTTGAATTTAGACATAATTATTTACACTATTATATGTCCTAATATTTACTCATTAGGATGATGAAATGTCTGTAATTTCCTTTGTGAAATATTCATCAAATTACATTACTTTAAAAGTGATATAGGAGGAATGGGGAGTGACTGGTTAATGGTATAGGACCGGCTTCGGGGATGATGCAGATGTTTTGAAACTAGCTACAGGTGATGACTGCACAATGTTGTGAATATACTAAATGCTACTGAATTGTATACTTAAAAATGGTCAGTTTTGTTATGTGAATTTCACTTCAATTTTAAAAGTGAAGTGCTATTATTTTCTTAAGATAAATTTATAGATTTTTCCAGTGAAATGAAAGTTTGTTGAAATATGCTTTATTTACTGGTTATTGTGTGGGCATGTTTGTTGGGCATTCTTTCACTAAAATATTAAACTACATTTTTATCTATTATGGGAGATTCAATGTTATCTTTAAGGAATATGTCCTGTTCTATCTCCACGAAAATTGGAGTCTGCAAATAGTATGCAGTCTCCTAATTCATTTAATTTACAGAATTTTGTGGATTAAAAATTAAATGTTTTTATTTTTTTCCTTTTCAGAAGAATCAGACTCTGAAATACCTAAGAATGACTGGAAACAAAATTGAAAATACAGGTGGAATGTTTTTTGCTGCAATGCTGCAAATTAATTCATCCTTAGAGAAATTAGATCTGGGTGACTGTGATCTTGTGAGTAAACTGGTTATGAGAAAATTAACCAGATAGTGGGTCTTAGAGACCAGTGAAATGAGAGTCTTGTGAATGATTAATTTTGTCTGTTATGTCTAATATCAGAGAAAAGACTATTTACTATAGTCCAATTTTATTAATTGTACTATTAGACATAACTGTACTATTAGACATAATAGTACAATATAGTCTGATTTTATCGTTATAAATTATATAATAATTATTGTCTAATTTAAATTAAATTATTAATTGTACTATGTCTAATTTAAAAAATTAAATGTTTTAAATTTAAAAATTTAAAAAATTAGACATAATAGCATAATTAATAAAATCGGACTATAGTAAATAACAACACAGAAAAGTTTAGGAATATTTTTATTCCTAAACTTCCATCTATATAGGTCATCTTAAACTGTATGGAATTTTTAGAAAAAGATCATGTTCACTTTAATTAAACAAATATTACTTTATTCATACTTTTTTTTTTTTTTTTTTTTTATGTTTTGAAAAACCTTTTTAGTCTGGGTGCAGTGGCTCCCGCCTGTAATCCCAGCACTTTGGGAGGCCCAGGCAAGCGGATCACCTGAGGTCAGAAGTTTGAGACCAGCCTGGCCAACATGGTGAAACCCCATCTCTACTAAAAATACAAAAATTAGCCAGGCTTGGTGGCAGGAGCCTGTAATCTCAGTTGCTCAGGAGGCTGAGGCAGGAGAATTGCTTGAACTGGGAGGTGGAGGCTGCAGCGAGCTGAGATCATGCCACTTCACTCCAGCCTGGGCGACAGAGACTCTGCCTCAAAACAAAAGTACTTTTTAGTAGTTATTTATATTGTAGCATAAAAACTTAAAATGATGATGCTAAAAGCTGCTCTGAAGCTGGGTAACATGACATGTACCTGTAGTCCCAGCTATTTAGGAGGCTGAGGTAGGAGAATCTCTTGAGCCCAGGAGTTTGAGGTTACAATGCACTATGATCATGCCTGTGAACAGCCATTGTACGCCAGCATGGGCAACATGGTAAGACTCTGTGTCTAAAAATTATAAAAAAAAGATGAAAGTTGCTTTGAGCCTTCACCTGGCCTGCTAACGAGAAATTTGTGCTTTTTGCATGTCTTCAAATTCCAGGCTTCACTTTCTCTGACGTGCTTTCAAATCTTCAGGCCTACTCATGGGAACCTGTTGTATAGCCTCAGATTAATGCATAATTAAAGTGACATGAAAATAAGATGGGCCAGGAAGCTCTCTGAGGTAATAGATTCTGAAGATCTGAAGGATTAACTTTTTTTTTGAGTCTCACTCTTGTCGCCCAGGCTGGAGTGCAGTGGTGCAATCTCAGCTCACTGCAACCTCCGCCTCCTGGATTCATTCTCTTCCCTCAGCCTCCCGAGTAGCTGTAATTACAGGTGCCTGCCACGACACTCGGCTATTTTTATTTATTTATTTATTTATTTATTATTTGTGGTACAGACGGGGTTTCATGAGGTTGGCTAGGCTGGTCTAGAACATTTGACCTCAGGTGATCCACCTGCCTTGGCCTCCCGAAGTGCTGGGATTACAGGCATGAGCCACTGTGCCCGTGCCAGGCCAGGGTTAACTTTTTTTTTTTTGAGATGGAGTCTCCCACTGTCACCTGGGCTACAGTGCAATGGCACAATCTAATTTGGCTCACTGCAACCTCCACCTCCTGGGTTCAAGCAATTCTCCTGCCTCAGCCTCCTGAGTAGCTGAGACTACAGGCGTGCACCACCACGCCCAGCTAATTTTTGTATCTTTAGTAGAGACAGGGTTTCACCATGTCTTGATGATGGTCTTGAGCTCTTGACCTCGTGATCAGCCCACCTCAGCTTCCCAAAGTGCTGGGATTATAGGCATGAGCCACCGTGCCCGTCCCAGTTAACTTTTTTAAGGTGGTAGACGCAGCCAGTGTGGTTCAGGGAAGCCATTAATTTGGTATTGATCGTCTCCACCTACTAGTCACTGTGCTAAATACTAAGGATACAATAGTGAATCATATGGCCTCTGCCCTTATGAAACTTACATTTTAGTTGGGAAAACACCAATAAAGAAATAGACGAAAGTGGTACAAAGATGATTCAATACTCTGATAATGGGGAGAAGTAATTCTGCTACAGATGGCTGCCTAAGACTTGAGGAGGTAATATTTACAAATTATGAAGGACTGTCATGAAGAATGTCCATGTCACAACCTTCCAGGCAGAGGATCCAGCATGCACAGACATTAAGACAGTGCTTCCCTTATGCAGCCATTTATTTGGGAAAAAAAAAAAAAAAAAAAAAGAAGATAGTGCTTTGTTAAGTGTGGCATGGGTGGCATTCCTGGTGCAGAGTGAGGTAATTTTCATACTCATATGTTTATTTTTACAGATGCTGTTTATTTCAAGGGATTACGATTTTCCAGTTAGCTGTGATACAAAGTCTTATTTTAAAATAAACATAAGTGAAAAAGTGAGTTGATTTAATGGGAAAGTATTAAGTAAACAGTGTCAAGTAAGTTTGGGCATGGTGGCTCGTGCCTGTAATCCCAGCACTTTGGGAGGCTAAGGCAGGCACACTGCCTGAGCCCAGGAGTTTGAGACCAGCCTTGGCAACATGGGAAAACCCCATCTCTACAAAAAATTAAAAAATTAGCCAAGCATGGTGGTGCATGCCAGCTTCTAGGGAGGCTGAGGTGGGAGGATCACTTGAGCCCAGCAGGTCAAGGCTGCAATAAGCCCTGAGTGTGCCACCACACTCCAGCCTGGGTGACAGAGTGAGACCCGATCTCAAAAAAATAAATAAAAACAAATACAGTGTTAAGTAAATATTTTGCATACTCAGATTTGGCAAAAATCACGAGGGTGGTGTATGAATAATGAAATAGCAAGTCTGACAATATTTAAGATCTGAGAAGTCAGAATGGCTAAGCAGACCAAGTTAAGAGTGCCTCAAAGTCAAGGTGGAGAGGGTTATGGGGGCCAGATAAGGCAAAGCTGTGTGGGGTGTGGGTCATGGGTAAGGGGAAGAAGTGGGTGTTGTATTATAAAAGCAAATCATAGGCCGGGCGCGGTGGCTCAAACCTGTAATCCCAGCACTGTGGGAGGCCAAGGCGGGTGGATCACGAGGTCAAGAGATCGAGACCATCCTGGTCAACATGGTGAAACCCCATCTCTACTAAAAATACAAAAAATTAGCTGGGCATGGTGGCGCGTGCCTGTAATCCCAGCTACTCAGGAGGCTGGGGCAGAATTGCCTGAACCCGGGAGGTGGAGGTTGCAGTGAGCCGAGATCGCGCCATTGCACTCCAGCCTGGGTAACAAGAGCGAAACTCCGTCTCAAAAAAAAAAAAAAAAAAAAAAAAAAAGCAAATCATGGAAATCATGCAAAGGCGCTAAGGGGTAACAATCTGATTGGTGGTTTTACATCACTGGTTTCTCTATGGAGAATTAAAGGGTGGCAAGAGGAGGCCATCTGACTAGTTACTTACTTTAGTAGTCCAGGTGAGAGGTGAGGAGGACTTGGCCTGGGGTGGTGGCCACAGAGATGGACAGGAACAGAGTAATCTGAGACATCTTTTGGAGGCAGCAGAATCTGTAAGACTTACTGATCAACTGGGAAGGTAAGAGGAATGGCAGAGTGAGAGGAAGCCCATGGTTTCCAGCACAATAGCTGGGTGTGTATGGTAGTGTCCATCACGGATGTGGGGGAGGACTAAGCCCTTCCAGTCAGATAGAGCAAGGGATGCCTATGGGATCTGTGAAAAATGTGATTAGTAACCTCACCACACACACTTAAGGTACTAGTATCAATATAAAAGAGTGTTTGCACAAAGTTATGTGTTGCGTAAGTAGTATGAGCTCTGGCTGGGATCCATATAGAAGCTTAAGGGCGTAGGAATAAACCTAGAGGCAAACACCCAGGAAATGGATACTGAAACGTTAAGAAACTCCAGTAACAGTTCATTTTTGAATTTGATCAACCTGTAATTCAAAGTTCAAGGAATGCTTAAATTTTAAAAACAATTATGAGAATGCAGATAACTGATCTTGAAATATTTATGTAGAGACTGTTATATACTTTGTCAGCTTCCTTAACAAATTTACCTGTTTTTAGGGGATGCAAAGTGTGATAGCAATTGCTACAGTACTAACTCGAAACCAAGCAATTAAGGCAATAAACCTAAACCGACCTATCCTGTATGGTGAACAGGTATGTATTCAAAGTGATGGTAGTTAATATAACAACATGAATAAAACTAAGGTACTACTACAAGTTTACGTCAAGGTACATTGTATTTTTAGAGATGTACTTACTATATCTTTATAAACTACTATTTATAAAAATGTTTAAAGGGAAATTATATCCATCCTTGGTAAGACTTTTATAACTAAATATGCTTTTAGATATTGCTTATTTAAGCAGCAAACACGTCATCTTTTCTCTTGAAACTCAAGTTCTGAGTAAACCCTGAGCGTCAAAATAATTAAGATGAAAGCATAAATAGTGAAGGTTTTAAAAGCCAGACTATAAGAGCCCAGTGTGAACTGTTCTATTGTTTGTTACATTGGTATGGCTGAACCATTATGCTTTTGAAATGAGTAATAAAAGGCAAATGTATGTGAAAAGCAGTCTGGAATGTCTGGACTTCACCCTATCTATAGGTAAGCTGCTAGCTGGAGACAGAAAGATGAGTAAAAACATGGTTCCTACTTTCAAGACTTCAAGCTCCTTAATATCCTTCTGGGTGGCTTTCTTCTCCTATCACTTGTAAACAGCTAGGAAATAAGAACTCTCTTTGTTATTGTATAAACAAAAACATATCTATTAGGAAAAGTAAATGGTCAAAGCACTTTATAAAGTTCAGTGTTTAAAATTCAATGTTTGGTTGGGGATGGTGGCTCATGCCTGTAATCCCAGCACTTTGGGAGGCCAAGGTGGGCAGATCACCTGAGGTCAAGAGTTTCAGACCAGCCTGGCCAACATGGCAAAACCCCCTCTCTACTAAAAATATAAAAATTAGCTGGCATGGTGGCAGGCGCCTGTAATCCCAGCTACTCTGGTGGCTGAGGCATAAAAATCGCTTGAACCGAGGAAGCAGAGGTTGCAGTGAGCCAAGATCACACCACTGCACTCCAGCCTGGGTGACAGAGTGAGACTTCATCTCCATCTCAATAAATAAATAAGTAAAATTCAATGTTTTAACTTTGAACTTTTTTTTTTTTTTTTTTGAGTGAGTCTCTCACTCTTACCCAGGCTGGAGTGCAGTGGCATAATCTCGGCTCACGGCAGCCTCTGCCTCCTAGTGAGCCTCAAGTGATCCTCCCACCTCAGCCTCCTGAGTAGCTGGGACCACAGGTATGCACCACAATGCCCAGGTAATTTTTTTTGTATTTTTGGCAGAGACAGGGTTTTGTCATGTTGCCCAGGCTGGTCTTGAACTCCTGAGCTCAAGTTAACTGCCTGCCTTGATCTCCCAAAGTGCTAGGATTACAGGCGTGAGCTATCATGCCCAACCAAACTTTGAATCTTTTAAATGACCAAAGCACTTTAGATAATTTAAAAGTATCCACCTCACTGTTCCTCCTTAGCATGAATAACTGAGAATTAACAGTATTTTAAAAGTAGTATTCTCATATACAGAAGTGTATTTTGCATTCTTTCCTACATAGATCTCTCCCTTTATCTCTGCACTTTTTGGTACCAGAATTTTTGTGGTTTTACATCATGTTGTTTCATGTACATAAATCCAATCTGTTCAACAAGATCCTCAGAATCTTCAAATAGATTCCTTTTTAAAAAATACTTAACAGACTAGCAAAATACAGCTCAAAGTACCCATGCAGTAAATTGCTTCACTTATGATTCATTCATGAATACAACCTTAAGCCAGACACAATGCTAGCGGTATTAAAGTCAAATAAATTACATAGCACTTGTCTTCAATGAGTTTTCTGTCTAGGTGGAGGGAGCTCAACAAGTCTGGAGAGTGAAATGCTCAGGGTGCCATGGGGACATAAGGAGGGTAATCGAAATCAAAGGGGAGGTTTAGTGTGGTAGGGAGGTTCTCAGATTGAGGACATGACAGATTTGAAGGCTAAATAAAAAATTTCTGATTTTATCTCTGTGGAAATATATTTACATACAGATCACATCATAAGCATGATCTCTTTTTAAAATATGTTGAGTAGTGTCATTCCTAAATCCACCTGAGGATGCTTATTATTAAAAGCACCCTTGTTGCTCTCAGCCTGGCGCTTCTGACAGCCAGCTAGGCTCTAGCCTGTTTTGTTCTCCAGGACAGCCACTACCTTCTCTATCCCCAAGGGTACTATTCTGCTCTTCAATAGTTGCGGAGTAGGATTCTCTTGTGCTTTCCTACTTTGCTGTTCCAATACAAACCTGCAAATCTATTCCATTTAAGGATATTACTGTTTTGGCTGGGTGCTGTGGCTCATGCCTGTAATCCCAGCACTTTGGGAGGCTTGAGGCGGGTGGATCACCTGTTGGGAGTTCGAGACCAGCCTGACCAACATGGTGAAACCCTGTCTCTACTAAAAATACAGAAATTAGACGGGAATGGTGGCAGGAACCTGTAATCCCAGCTACTCAGGAGGCTGAGGCAGGAGAATTGCTTGAACCCTGGGGGCGGAGGTTGCAGTGAGTCGAGATTACGCCATTGCACTCCAGCCTGGGCAACAAGAGCAAAACTGTCTTGTCTCAAAAAAAAAAAAAAAAAAAAAAAGGTGGGGGGTATTACTGTTTTATTACCGTGGAGGAATGGGATAACAAACAGCTGTTAAGATATAGGACTTCACCTTTAATGCTCATGGGCATTATCTGTGGAGCTTGAAAAATACTGATTCCAGGTTCCACTCTAGACAAATCAAGTCACAAACTCAGTGAATGAGACTAAAACCCTTTACTATTTCTGACAATAATTCCTCCTTTAGTTAGGATAGTCCAGCTTTCAAGCTTTGCAGCCTAAAACTGCAAACAAGACCCAAACACAAAAACATAACTGGGTTTGTCCTCTGAGCCTGGCAATACATAGAGCAATAGTGGAACCCCCACTAAGTGGTTGGTTTGCATTTTTAAATATCCTGTCCTACACAGCATTCCTTTGGTTATATCTTTTCAGTGTCAAAGCAATTTCAGCAAATACAGAATTATAGAATATTGAACAATAATAAATGCTTTGTAGTCAGTTTATGGAACACTTATTTTGTGCTAGATACTTTTTGTTAACTTATATGTGTGAGGGAAGCATAATTTCAACTACTTTACTAAAATAGAAACTGAGACTCAGCAAGATGAAAATATTTGCCCAAAGCCATATAGCCAGTAAAATGTAAAGCTGGTATCTGACAGATTTAATTTTTATAAAGCTCGTGTACTTTCTGCTATTGCTACGTGGTTTCATTTAAAGTTTTTTTCAAAGTAGTTTTATATATAGCAAGAACATATATATAGTTAGCTATGTTATCAGCATTTCCAGTGACTAAAAAACTTATTACATTATACAGCAATCATGCAAGAGCACTTCTTATCACAAAATACTTTGGGCCATTCATTTGAAAATATGCTCTGATTTTGTTAAAAACTTAAAATGCCTGGTATTCAAATCTTCATTGATGCTACATATCTTTTGCCTAGAAGTGGCTAGATTATGGAACTTTAAAAAATAGTCTTCTGATGATCAGAAAACAAGAGTAAAACCTCTTAGGAATTTGAGATGATTATAAAAGGGAAGAATCGGATATATCACAGGGTTAATGAGTGTGATAAAACTTAATATATAAAACCAAGATTGAGAAATGTCTTTGTATTTTGTCTGAAAACCATCAAGAGTAGAGATCAAAAACTAAGTTCAAGAACATATGGAAGGTACAAAAAATGTTTAGAGACTCGAAAGATGGATTACATGCTCTATACATGATGGGACCAATTGTTTTTTTTTCTTTTGAAATGACTATTTTTTTAAAAAAAAAAAAAACCAAATTAACAAGCCTCTTTTACATCACTTAGTCACTATATTTTACAAGTGCCAGATACTATTTCTGAGAAGGTAGAAGATATCATTTGTGGCAAAGATATTTTTAAAATAGACCAAACAAATGCAGTTTTAACCAATATAACCTTTTTAAAAAGCTAATTTAAATAACAGCATATGTTTGAAATAAACATGTACTACTTCAAAATTATATTTTAGAAATAAGACTTTATCCATTTTTAGGAGGAGTCCACAGTCCATGTAGGCTGCATGTTAAAAGAAAATCACTGTCTTGTTGCACTACACATGTGTAAGCATGATATGAAAAACAGTGGTATACAACAGTTATGTGATGCACTGTATCTGAACAGTAGTCTGCGCTACCTTGATGTCAGCTGGTAAGTGATAATTTACACATTAATAATTCAAAGTTAAATCATGGGACTAATTTATATAAATATTCATAGTACTTGGGATACTCTGTTAGACATTATTTCCAATGATTAGAAACTGCAACCATTTGTCAACCTTTTGTCCTAAGCCTTAATATTTATTTACGTTATACTGTTATATTTTTGTAACATGAAGAGCAATTTAGTTGTGTAAACAAGAATGAAAGCAGCATTTTATGGTGAATTTTCATTAACTTGCTTGGAAATCAAGTGACTAAAATAAACCTTTACTAAAAAAGTACTGTTTAAGTTTTCAAGCATCTTATCATATGAATAAAAACACTCTATTTTCAAATATAACTATTTTTTCTTTCCCAGCAATAAAATAACTCATGATGGAATGGTGTATGTGGCTGATGTACTGAAAAGCAACACTACCCTGGAAGTAATAGATCTTTCCTTTAACAGAATAGAAGATGCAGGTGCCAACTATCTCAGTGAAGCTCTTACTTCACACAATAGGAATCTTAAAGCGTTAGTATGGTTTTATATTTAATCAAAATAACAGAAGAGCAAATTCTTAAATTCTAACCTCAAACCTTTAAGATTATCATGAAATATGAAAACTGAGCTTCTAAACTGATATAGTATTAAGTTACAGTAAACATTTCAATTTTTCAAACATAATGTTTTTTACAATTAGACTGATTCTATTAACAATTCCTTCAAATTAATGAGAAAATTTGTATTGCTTATGTTATTTATCCTCAATTCTAATAGAAAAATCAGAAGCATTCAATATGATCAGACTTTTAAAAATAAGAATGAACTAAAGAATAAAATACTTGGATGGATTTATGCAGAAAAATATATCTGGTGTCCACCCAAACATTTACGTAATAATATAAAACAAAAGACTTTCAAAATATAGTTACCTCTACCAGGTACCTTAAGGATCTAATTAGAAAACTAAGTTTCTTGGATTTTAGGAATTAAATGGTCAGTATTTTTACCACTACATTAAAATATACTGAAGAATAATGCTAAGACTACACAAGAAAATGTAATAAATACTGTTGCTAATTTTTGCATTCTTTCTTTGTGGAACTATTGGTTTCAGGTTGTCAGTAGTCAGCAACAACATAAAGGGAGAAGGACTTGTTGCACTTTCACAATCAATGAAAACAAATCTCACATTCTCCCATATCTACATTTGGGGAAACAAATTTGATGAGGCAACGTGTATAGTAAGTTTTAAGTTTTTTCCTTCACTGAAGGCTTTTTCTGGGTTATCTCTCTTAACATCAGATAGTATTTACAGGTGCCTGAGAAATGGTTACACAGTGAGACACTGCAGTTTTGATAGTTAACATAAGTCCTAAAAATTAGCTACTAGAGAGTTTGGTGGTTGACATATCAAAAGATATCAAATACCATATATTAGTATTACACATCACTGAATGACATAGTTCTAATTCCTCTAAGGTTAAAAAAAATCATAATTACTGATTTGATGTAGCAAAATTTCTGATCTGCTCCCTAACAATTATACCAAGATATGGAACTGGAGAGATATAGTACAAGCTATCAAAATATTTGGCATATTGCTCACATAAATACAGATAGCCTTTGATAGTACTTTCAAAACAGAAATCATGGTAACAATTTGGAAAGAATAAGGGAAAAAGTAGATGTTAAAATTCTCAAAATTTGCAAAAGGACTAACCAAAATTCCACCACTAAAATGAGTAATAAAACATACAATATTGTCACATCCCTCCCCCAAAAAAAACAACCCTTACTTAATTTTAGAAAAACACCCATAATCCTTTAGACTCTACACACCAGAGCTGAATAAGTTGAGTTTGGAACTGGAACTAATGATGAATGACAAGCTAAAGCAGAAAGCAAATTTGACTTTTAAATATTTTAATGTCTAAATTTCCAGCTTTCTCTATAATGACAGCCTTACTGAGAGTTCAACATGTTTGTGTGACACTGTTACATAGATACTAAGGATTATGGCTCATGCCTCTAATCCCAGCACTTTGGGAGGCCGAGGTGGGCAGATTACGAAGTCAAGAGACCAAGACCATCCTGGCCAACATGATGAAACCTCATCTACTAAAAATACAAAAATTAGCTGGATGTGGTGGTGTGCACCTGCAATCCCAGCTACTCGGGAGGCTGAGGCAGGAGAATTACTTGAATCCGGGAGGCAGAGGTTGCGGTGAGCCATTGAACTCCAGCTTGGGTGACAAGAGTGAGACTCTCTCTCAAAAAAACAAAAAACCAAACAAATAAAAAAATGTGTAAAGAAAATTCTACAATGAAGAAATAATTAATAGGCTAGCATCTAATACTATGGAATTGTCTCTCTTAGCCTAAATCTGCAGATTAGATTCAGGGGGATCATGAACTCTATATAATTGTATGTCCAAATCTGGGATTCCCTTTATTTTTCTAAGGAATGGGTAACCAGCTATCAGCAGATTTTTGGGAAGGTATACAATAGCTCTCCTACCCAGCCCCCTACCTATTCCAATTTAAGAACATATGAGGGACTTGAAAATTTTGACCATAGGAGTTTTGTCCACAAAACTGGCAGTACAGAAAATTAACTCTAGGAATACAAAATGACAAAAACATGTCTAATACATTAAAACTTAGAAATAAGTTTTGCAACATTATAATTTCATTGTGTGTAATTAAATGAATAAAAATCTACCTACAATACCTGGAAAATATTAAAATTCAGCAATGTAATTCAGAATATTTTGTTTTAAACTACAAATTAGCATGGCTAATTTAAATATTTAAATTTCTTTTAGGACTGTAAATTGAATACATTTTTTCTCAATGATACAGTTTTTCTTTTCTTAAAAATCCTAGGCATATTCACATTTAATTCAAACGGGTCGTCTAAAACCAGACAATACAGATGTGGAGCCATTTGTGGTAGATGGACACGTATATCTTGCAGAAGTCTCCAATGGCCTTAAGAAGCATTATTATTGGACATCAACTTATGGAGAATCTTATGACCACTCATCTAATGCAGGTTATGCTCTTGTTCCAGTAGGTCAACAGCCATGATAAAGAAGCTCTAAAATAATTTTCATACATTTGTCTTATTACTTTCACAGAGATTAATATTCTATAGCCTATTTGTTTTCTTTCATAAATTAAAACAAGTTACTTTTCTCAAATGTGTAAAAGATAATGGCTGTATTAAATTTTGTATAGCTGTGCACTATGAGAAACTGAGTATGGTTAATTTTTTTTTTTTTGAGACAGAGTCTCGCTATATCGCCCAGGCTGGAGTGCAGTGGCACGATCTCACCTCACTGCAACCTGTTTCCCTGGTTCAAGCAATTCTCCTGCCTCAGCCTCTCAAGTAGCTGGGACTACAGGTATGTACCACCATGCCCAGCTAATTTTTGTATTTTTAGTAGAGATGGGATTTCACCATATTGGCCAGGATGGTCTCGATCTCCTGACCTCATGATCCATCTGCCTCAGCCTCCAAAAGTGCTGGGACTACAGGTGTGAGCCACCACGCCTGGCCAGAGTACAGTAATTTTTTTTTAAAGAAAATTTATAATGTAGAGACAAAAATTCTAATCCCGGAGAAATAGGCCAAGGAACTAGACTAAAATTCTTTTTATAATGAAAATATAACCAAGTAGTGAAATAGCATACAAGTAAAGTTCATTATAGGTATCTAACTGAAAGTGATTAAGTAGTATTAATAAAAAGGTTTTATTGGTAGTAGCAAATTACCAGTGGCTTTCAAAGGTTTCAAAGTTCAGAAGTTGAAAAAGTATTCTACCTATCCTATTTAGGTGGTACAGACAGGTGTTAATAACAATTTCAAAAATACAGGCAAATATATATAAACATATACATACCTCTTTCCCAACAAGTCAGTGCTGTCAGCTCCTCCCACCCTCCTTTCATAGACAATCACTATCCTGACTTCTAACACCACAGAGTAGTTTTGCCTGTTCTTGACCTTTATATAAATGGAAGCATACAGTATACACTTTTTTTTGTGTCTGGCTTCTTTTGTTCAACATTATATTAGTATGATTCATTTATGTTGTTTAATGTAGCAATAGTCTGTTCACTTTTTATTGCTTTGTAGTATTCTTCACATGCTGGGTAGTAAGGAGTCTACTGGATTCTGGAAAGAGTTTGCTTTCCCAGGCTACTATCTCTTCCTTTGTGCTATGGAAGGGGCCCACAAGTTCCCATATTTCCCTAAAGAGAGATTCAGAAGATGGCTGAAGGGGAAGCAAGTAGGCTTACCTTGAGCCCACAGTGGGGTACACGTGGTAAACCTGTAACCTGACCTACACTGCTGCTTGAGGCAGAGTTGCAGATGTTAGAGCCTCAGTTTTTCAAATCCAAGAGAACTGAGATGAAGTCAGTTCAACCAAGTACAACTGGGCTCTCATCAGACTAGGAAAGGAGCTACCACAGAGGTCATATAATGCCCAGAGAATGGAAGAGCTCAAGAAAGATTCCATCTATCCTGATGCCTCTGTCTTGTAAGATATGTCTGGACACTATTTTAGAGAGACAAAGGACAGGAATAAAACAGCATTTCTCCAAAAGATTAAGCATTACCTTAAAATCCCTTAAGATATTATGAATTCTATTCCCTTTATATCAGACTAGATTTTAAACTGGCTAAGACCAAAAGTTAATTTTTTCCAGACTTACCACTGTCCACAGGCTCAAGAGGAAGGACATATAAGTTCCATAGAAAAACTCTCATTTCCTCTGCACATCTAAATTATAAAAAGCAAATCTGCAACCATATTGTATGTGTTGTACATTTCATTTTCCTCTCAGCAATCATTCTTTAAGACCTAGCTCAAAGACTGCTTCACCTTACACTGCTGCAGATCGTTTTATGCTCATCATTTTACAAGGTTTCAAATTTGAAAGCAAAAATAAAGTAGTTTGTGCTTTTCAGATACTTGAGAAAATAATGATCGTCTGCCTTAAGTTCTCCTTTTCAAACTTTTCTATAGTATTATTCATTCATCATGTCTTCTTAACATCTACTCCAACCACATCTGTCTGGTTCTGCTCCCACTGTTATACTACATCTGCCTTCCAAATGATCATTGTACTCCAATTATACAACCCAATGTTGACTCAGATTTACATCCTACCACGTGACTGCTACAAAGGCACTTTTGTCTCCCAAAATTTGTGCCACCTTGATTTTCTTCCTATCTTTCTGTTGTAACTTCCCATCTCCTTTTCCATCTTTGCTCATCCTTTAAATGAATTTTCCCCCAAGTTCTGTCCCCACCTTTTTTTCTCCTATACCATTTCCCAGGGCTGCCTTAATCATTTCTATAAATTATTAGCTGCAAGGTCTGTATCTCTACCTTTAAATTCTCCTAGTTCAGGCCCCATTTCCAACCACTACCAGACTTTTCATACATATCGTACCACCAATCAAATTTGATACATCAAAATTGCTTCCCTTCTCTAAATGTGCTCCTTAAGACTTATCTTGATGTCAGTGGCATCACCATCTTCTCAGTCACTAGGATCAAAGCTTAGGTGTTCAATTTGGTGCTGCCTGCTTACAAGGAAAATAAAGTGACTCAGCCTGTTTAAAAAAAAAGGAGATTTAACATAAGGATACAACAACCACACTCACTGGCATCCAGGTGCAGAAAATGATCATGGCTCTGTCACCTCAGTGGGATTGCAAAGACGGAAACTACGGCCACTTCGGATCTCTTTAGGGCAGTCTCTTGGCTCTGCAAACCTGTTTCATTCCCTAGCTTTATTCTATAGATCAGCTTTCTCTGCTTATTTATCATTTCCTTTAGACTTCAGGTTGCTTCACTGACTTCTAGGCCAGTTCTAAATGATCTTTTCATTTATAGGTATATCATTACCTGATTGTCTCAGAATGTCATTGCTCAAATTTTTGAGAAAGAAACTGACCAGCTCAGTCTGGCCTATGAATTGTTTTTTCCTGGTAAAATGTTTGCTGCTGTGGTCCCAAGTATGGAATCATGTGTTAGAAATGTGGCTGTCTAATCCCTGCCCTCCAGCATGCAACTGTGGTTGGCATGTGAGAACGTGGGTTACAAACCTGGCTATCTAATCTCACTCCTTCAGCAGAGTATGGGTAGAGAAACTATTTCAAGATGGTATACGTGTAGTACTGGACATGCCTCTGACTTCCCTCTCTTCTCTACTTAATGCTTTCTCTCCATTCTACCTAGTTCACTCTTCATCATCCATGTGCAAATTCGTCCCATCAGCCATCTCCTCTTGTTTGCCTATCCAGCTAAGCAATGACCGTTTCTCTGTCCATTCTACTCCAATTGACTGCTCAGCATTTCCTTTCTTGCCTTTCCCTACTAAAACACTCAACATTCTGGCTTTTCTTATTGCTAGTTATATTCATGCTTGGGATTTCCACTTGACTGTAAACTTAAGGGTAGTTTATCTTTTTTATCTTTGCAGCTTTATGTATTCTGATTTGAATTTTTTCCCCAGCATTTGAAACTGGCCAGATACTGTTATCCAAATATGTGGATATTCAATCCATAGTGTTTTAGTAAATTTTTCTTGAAATTAAATACTGTGTTTACATGGTAATTACCTAATTTCTTAAGCAAATACAGATGGTCCCTGACTTATGATTTCTTGACTTTACAATGTGCAAAACTAATATATATTCAGTATACTCCTTGATTTATGATAAACCCGTAAGCCAAGGAGCCTCTGTACAGCAAACCTCTTTTGAATGAATAGAGGCAGGTGTTACAGAAGACAGAAGACTATATTATTATCTCAAAAAATTAATGCTCTAGTAACTACATATCAATATTGTCCATAAATGAGTAAAAACATAGAATTTAAATAATTTTACTTGATGGTATTTCTAGTCAAGTTCTAGGTACTCAAAATTTCCAGGTAAAATACTGAAAATTATATTCAAGAGCATCATTTTAAACTGCTTCCCAAAGGTAGAACACCAAGAAATGTTTAAGGCTGGGCACGCTGGCTCATGCCTGTAATCCCAGCGCTTTGGGAGGCCGAGGAGGACAGATCACCTGAGATCAGGAGGTCGAGACCAGCCTGGTCAATAGAGTGAACACCATTGCTACCAAAAATATAAAAAATTAGCCAGGTGTGGTGGTGCATGCCTGTAGTCCCAGCTACTTGGGAGGCTAAGGCAGGAGAACTTCTTGAACCCAAGAAGTGGAGGTTGCAGTGAGCCAAAATCATGCCAGTGCACTCCAGCCTGGGCAACAGAGTGAGACTCTGTCTCAAAAAAGAAAAAAAGAAAAAAAGATAGTTCACATGTTTGGTATACATTAAAATCACCTGTGGGGCTTTTCCAGCATATATATGCCCTAAGACCTATCTGGTTCAGTAGATATAAAAGGTGGAATGGGCCTGGATATTGTTATTTCTTAAACATGTTTCTGATATGCATTAAATGTTAGAGCTATTTAGGATACTTAAAAAAAACTAGTACATGTACATTATTTCAACTACTCACTTGCACAATTTCTGTAGGACTGAAACACAGAAATGATAAGCTACCGCTGCAATGGAACTAATAGAACCATTACCTTTGAAAAAAGATCTTCTAAAATTTGTCTATCAAAATCATCCTGTGAAATTAAACATAAAACAATACCATTTAAAAACAGCAAAAAAATTTATATAATCTACAGTTTCCTTTAAAATAGTCTAAAATCTAACAATACAATAGGCATGTCTGATACAAATATAAAACAAAATTAAATTCATTTAGAAAATAGTTTCTCAATAAGATCTTCAGCGTCTAAAGACTTTCAAAAACATTTGTAATACTGAAATAATTACTAATAGACCTTTCCCAAAACACTGCATTATAACAAATATAATTAAAGTTGGACTTAACTAAAATGGTAATTATGAGTTTTAGAATGATACCAGTTACAACATATGCATATTATGATCAATAATAGCACAGCATTAAGAGAAGAATGGCAAAGAAGGGATACTGTCTTCAAATTTTCTTTACACGTCATTCTGGAAGAGCAGAAGATGACAACTCAAGCCATGTCAATTTAAATAAAATTACTTTAGCTAAGAAGCAGATAATGTGATCAAGAAAAGCTCAATCTTAGCCATTTCAACCATATCAAATAATACTAAAAATAATAAATTTGAAGGCTAGTCTATGCAAAGGCAAAATGCTAATTATACCAGAGGAAATTTGGCAACTATTGCCCTTAGAGAATCATGACATTACTGCAGCAGTTTTCTGTTCATTAGATGCTTGGATTAATGAAGATATAAATTAAACACAACCTCTCCATTTTAGCAAACTTCCTAAAGAGGCTGAGTCTTTTAATTTTCTTTAATTTCTTCATATTCCAATAAATTCCTATCAAATGTAACCCAGAAGACATTAGATGAACATTGTAATGCTTTATAAATTTTATTTAAATCCAGTATTTTAACTTAATACACATGGGTAGATTTCTTAGATGAATAATCAAATATTAAATTTGTATCATACAAAGGTGGTATTCCAAACTCTATTCAATTAGGTCAGTCCCACCGGTGGCAATTTATTATGAAAATACGGTGTGTGGGCTGGATGTGGTGGCTCACACCTGTAATCCCAGCACTTTGGGAGGCCGAGGCAGGTGGATCACGAGGTCAGGAGAGAGAGACCATCCTGGCCAACATGGTGAAATCCCGTTTCTACTAAAAATACAAAAATTAGCTGGATGTGGTGGTGTGTGCCTGTAATCCCAGTTACTCAGGAGGCTGAGGCAGAAGAATCGCCTGAACCCAGGAGGCAGAGGTTGCAGTGAGCTGAGATCGGGCCACTGCACTCCAGCCTGGTGACAGAGCAAGAGTCCATCTCAAAAAAA